CTGCAGCTGCTGAGATTTTTCCATTCCCCACCCTGCCCCTCCGAGAGGAGAACAGAGAGCAAATTTCACCCTGCAGAGTTTCCCAGCCCCTGAGCAGAAGAAACTCATGTAGGGGGCATTGGATTCAGCTACCTTAAAAGAAAAGGCCTGATTCTCCTCTCCCTTACACCAGAGTAAATTAGGACTATCTCTGTTAAAATCACAGGAGTTAGGCTGATATAAAACAACCGTCAGACCAGAATCAAGTCCAACATGTACTCCAATAACGCTCAGAGTAGTTGGTAAACATGTACGGCCACTGGATTGGATGGATCAACTGTACCAGTTTACACATGCTGCTGAGGACCTGGTCCAGAAACAGAAGGATCGACTGGTGTCTGAAATCCCCCCAAAAACTACTTTGTTGGGCCTGGACATTGTATTCTGCCTCATGTATATCTTCCCCCAGCTGACCCTGCCCTGCACGTTGCAACGTACACTATGAATGCTTATGGACCAAATTACGCCCTCCTCAAATATGTATCCAAAATGCCAAATACAGTATCCAAATATAAGGAAAAGCAGTTACTCTGCAGGAACTGGAACTAAAGAGTGAGCACACAGAACCCATAACAATCCACCTTTTTTCTTTCCACAAATCCCAAACTCAAATTTCAGTGTTAAAAGGAACATCTGAATCACCGCAGAATTTCTTCTTGCCAACTAACACTGACTTCATACTTGTTTTAGCTCTATGTTACACTGCTGATTGAATAAAAGGCTATTTTGTCATTCTGTATCCGTCCTCGCAAATAACCCAAGCGTGCAAGACAATTGATAGCATTTGGATTTACATTTACTGACGGCATTTATGGGGTAGAAGTTAATTGATTGGATTAAGTTTAATTTGGATGAGCTCATGCCTTGGGGGGGGATGCGGGGGGGGATGTGCCAGATTTTCACTCTCAAACCTCAAGGAGAAATTTTTAAAGCTTTATAGCTGCAAATAAATCTATTTTTGTCTAACATTGTTGTACGCTAGCTCTGCTGATATCAAAGATTCCAAACACCGGGGAAAAATATGGCAACAGGTCAGCACGGATGTGCCAAAATAGCTCCATAGGTCGTTACAAAAACACATGCACGCACAAAAACCTTGGCAGTAAGCTTTACCATGAAATAACTGTTGGAACATTTAATAGATTAGGTAATATAGTGTTCTTTCCTGTCTCCCAATCAAAAGAGACAGATTTTTTCTTTTAAAGGATCTAAGCAGGATTCTTACGAGCTTCATGGAAGTGTTTACATTCTATACTTAAAAAATGACAGACCAGCTCTGAAGGTGTAACAGTTGTTGGAATACAATATGGATCAACTGATGAAAGAAATGATTAGGGGGAAAATATATTTAAATCTGATGAACTCTCTTGTCAAACATTAGGGAAAAGCTTAGGCAACCTGTAATGCTCAGACAAATAATCCTTATGGGAGCAGATCTATTTGCAATGGGATTATTTGCATGCATGTTACTTGCATGAATAAGGGTGAGTCACCTGAAAGGCTTACAGGATTGGGTTCTAAGAAAACTTCAGGCTCCCTAAAGGTGCCCCACAGTTGCCAAAATATTAAAATTGAATTAAAAATTCCACATGAATGTGGGTAAGTCCCCTTACCATTGATGCACTGATTCTTGGAGTGCACAGAGGCAGTTTTGCAGGCAATGTTATCACATTATTAGCACTACAGCCGGAAGCGACAGAAATAAATTGAGGTCTTGGTCCCACGGAGTGTTGAGCTGCAGATTCGAATCCATTTTTGTGTAAGCTTTCCAGGTGCAGACTCAGGGTTGTACAGCGCTAGCCTATCACGGGCACTACCAGAAACAAATACTAGTAACATTCCACTTCATGCAGCAGGGACGGAACTGTGTGCTGGGTTACAGTCAGGAACTCCTTTGCGAGACCACTGCACGCAATGGGTTTGGCCAGATGTCAGGGAGGGCATAACTGGGCTTGCAACATCTTTGTCGCCACTGAAGATGTGCAAGATGGAACGACTTGATTCTCGGAGCCCGGATGGAGTTTGCTGCGCTGGCAGTTATTAAAACCAGACCTTTTTATGTGTAAACTGAAAGCTGAACACATTTGATCTGGGACCCACTGAGATGCAGTAAGGCCCACAATGCCATTTGCAGAGTCACTTTTCAGAGTGGAACCTTTCTTTGAGCCAGAACATGCCCCAAAGCTCCAGCTACACTGGGTATTTAAAACATGTATTGGAATCGCACTAATGCCTGGATGCTATAGTGCTAGGTGATTTAGCAATACTGCAAAATCCTTACACAAAACACACCACCATTCTACAGTAATAGTCCAAACAATCCAAAGCACGATGGTCATGTAAACTGCGGTGTTTGGGATCACTACAATATTTTTCATAAGGCTGGAGAGACAATTCTGACTAAATCATTTTGGGTATCGGTTTGCTTGGCCAGTGTGGATGGGGCAAAGTAATTTCCACACTGTGATTAGAAGCCCATTTCTAAATACAGCTCACACTTTTAAAATGGTTCGGTCCCCAACCATGCTGGTCAGCCAAGTCATGCGAGAAACCATTTCAGCTGGAACTGTATTTCACCATGGTTCCAAAACCTGGTGAAAAGCCCAGTGTAGGTGAAGGCCTGTCTGATGCTGGCAGGAAAAAAAGAGTTGATTTCATTGTACTGGACAGATTTCCAGAAGTGTCTCATTTGGAGTGAAGAAACAAACCAAGTGGTTTTTGTTCTAACAAGATGGCATGGTACTGCTGCTCTTAGGCATTGTTTGCTCCTGTCTAATCTAGGCTTGATCCTAAAAGGTAGAGCACAAACAACTAAGGACAAGAGTGTGTGGATGCCCTCCCATGGACTTCGGGGGCTTTGGCTCAGGCACGAAAAGATGACCGACATTATTCGATTTTAAAAAAAAATCTTATTTTCAGGCATGACTTAAACAAAGAGGCACAGGCAGAAAGAACAAAACTCAGAGCGAGAGAGGATTTTCCAAGTTGTCTAGGAGATTTGGACACCACGTTCTTGATGATATTCCGGCATCTAAATCCCGTAGACAGCCTTGAAGCTTTCAGACAAAGTGTGTCTGTCTTCTTCCCCCGGTAATGCTGCCCCTTGGTTTATTTTTTTCATTCTTGTGTTTGTTTTTTATATTATCTGTTCAATGCTGGCTTTGTTGTTGTTTGTGGCGGCTGCTCCATTCCCAGGGCTGCATCCAGCTGCGATGTCTTGGAAGAGGGAGATTTCAAACAAACAAAAATAAGTGCTGGGCATGATTTTAAATGTCTGAAACAAACAGCAAGTGTCCCTCATCCTGAGAGAGAGAGAGAGAGAGAGACTTTGAGACTGGATTTTAATTTCTTCCAAAATCAGGAAGGCCCTTCCTCCACATTGCTGTATTTACTGAATTGTGCAATGTTCCACATGCATGAACAAGGAGAGAAGTGGTTTTATAAATAACATTATGATGTAATTATTCTTTACTTGTCTGGGTCCAGACACACCAAAAGAAGTGGATTTTCTTGGAACAGATATGTGCTGCTTAGGGCTTGTTGGAAAATTTCTATCAAAACATTTTTTTTTGACTGAAAATTGAGCTTTCAACTGAATGAAATTTTTCATAAAAGGTGGGGTTTTTTTCCTTTTAATTTTTTAAAACTTTTTGATGGAAAACGCAATGCCTCCAAAATTATAATTTTCAGGTTTTGGCTGAAAGAATTTTATTTTTTATTTTTATTGAAAGTTCAAATTTTCAATGAGAAAATTCTGATCAACTTCTCCCCCCCCCCCCCCCAAATCCCAAGAACTGGCATAAAAATCATGAGATTTTAAAAATGAACGGGGGATTCTTTTTATTTACTTCCTTTTTCTTTGGCGCATATAGAGGTCAGGCTGCCAAGCTTTTCTCTTTAAATAAATGAAAGCTGATGTCCCAGTGAATATCCTAATTCCTGCAGCTGGGGGCTTGGAGAAAAACAAAAAGAATCTTAAGCCTGACAGATGGCAATGCTGTGACGAGCCCCCGTTTAAAGCTGGCTCCTAACTGGAGTGGCTTTGCAGGCGTCACCCCAGGAATAAACCTGGCCAAGTATAGCCCCAGATCTGCCCTGGTTTACTGCTTGGGCATACATCGCGTCAGTATTTAACCGAGTTTGCAGCTCATTCTGGACTCCACAGTCTCAGAGCTGCTGCTGCCTGTCAGGGGACAACAGTTGAGCGCTGACCCCTTTCTATGGCAAGAAAGCATCTATTGTCTTATAGGCCATTGGCATTTGCTTGTAGGGTTGACTCAGAGCTGCAAACTGGGCCCCTTCTTCCCACAGACGGGAGAGGAAAAGGGGGTGTTAACACAAATCAAGGAGGAAAGAGAAATCAGTGGGGGTTGAAGGTTAAAGCCAGCTTTGGTAATAAGTCAATACCATAAATAAATGCAAACACGTGTGTGTCTCTGTAGATCACACCTACCTCTGCCAGAGACCTGGATCTCTGGGAAACACCTGCGTGGCCTGCCATACCAAGAATCTTCCTGGCTGTGCACTGGTAGGTGTGTGAGAGCATGTGGCAAGGGGAGCGCCGCACGTGTGCAGCTGTGTCTGGATGGGAGCAGGTCTATGTGAGTGCCGCGTACATGCCCGTGTACAAGTTATGTGGGAGAGTGTGTGTGCCTTTACTCTCCCAGAATCCAGTCCCCTCTCCCTTTGCCTCCAGGCTCCCCCAGGGAGCGATAAGGAATGTTTACTTTGGCAGGAGCATCCAAGCAACACAGGAAAGACCAGATATGCAACCCCCCTGCTCAGTCCTCTCCCCTGGCTCCCACTCATTCCTAGCCACCTCCTCCCGCAATTCCCGCCCCACCCACAGCCTTTCCTTTCTGATCCTCCCTCCCCACCCTGCCTCTCCCCCCCACCCTTGTCCCCTCCCACCCCAGAGCATCTCCCCTGCAGCTGCACGGCTCCTCCAAGAGCTGTTGACAGAGCCAAGCAGCCTCTGGCAGCTGCGAACAAGCCAGCCCCCCTCCCCACCCCTTTGCACTGTCCCCTCCTGAAATTGCATCGCCTCCTTGGAGGAGCTGGAGAGAGACACACACAGCCAGCCCTGCTGCTCAGCCAGCTTTGCTCTCGCTCCCGGCCAGGGCTCCCCCAACTTCGCCCTCCCTCATTCGCTTTTCTGTGCAGAGCTGCCAGAGTTGCCTTGTGCACCCCCGGAGCGGGGAGAATGCACAGAGCCAGCTGGAGCCCGGGGAAGTGAGCGTGCGAGTGCCCCGGGCAGGAGGTTGCCCTACAGCAGGGGCTGGGGGCTTTCCTTAGCCCTGTGTTTCTCAACCTTTTTGATACCAGGGACCGGCTTGCTGCCTTCCTAAACTGTGTCAGGGAGATCTCAGGGACCGGTGCCAGGACGCTCCAGGAGTGGGGTGTCCTGCGTTCGCAGCCCCCAGCCTCGCTGGCTGGGAGTTTGCCCGGAGCCCGGCAAGAGTCCCCAGCACCCCAACATGGACACGGTGGCCAGCGACATCGCAGACCTCAGCAGCCAGGACGCGCAGAGCGTGTGCGAGGCGCTGGGGCGCTACGAGGACACGCTGCGGGGCGCTGTGCGGGAGATCCACGTGGACATCCAGGTCTTCAAGCAAGGGGTGGACCGGCAAGTGGACGAGGTACTGCGCCTCGCCAGCCCGCTGGCCCGCACCGTCGCCGAGCTACAGCAGGAGAACCAGCGACTGCGCGTGCAGGTGGAGCGCCTGGCCAGGCAGGTGGAAGCCCTCAGCAGGTCGGCGGGGCTGCCGGACAGCTGGGCTGCGGAGTGCGGGGCAGCCGGGGGGCCCAGCTCTCCAGGAGCTGGCGCAAGGCGGGCCAGGTTCTCCAGCCATGCCACCTTATCCATGACCGGCAAGAGCCAGGTAAGCACAGCTGGGAGCGGGGAGCTGTGCTGGGGTGCCCCCTTGGGGGTGGTTGGGCATTGCAGGGTGCTTGGGAGACAGGGGTGGCTGGGGCACCTACCCCCAACTGGGGAGCACCGGTGCACAGGAGGGACTAATCCAGGCATTTAAAAAAATCTCAGCACCCCCCTCCACTTGTGTTGAACAGAACATTTGATAGACCTGGCCAGTTTGTGAACTAGGCCTGAACGGAGATTTCACTCCCTTTAACAAAATCAAATGGCAAGGACAGATCAAAGATAGTGCAAACAGCCTGTTTGAAATCTGATGATGTTACTGTCTGATGTCTCTCTGAACAGGAGCTCATCTAAGGACTGTTTTTATCTCTGCTAGTTTCCTTCCTTAAATGGTTTTAAAACAAAATCATTGGTCTTTATGTATGTGGGGCCAGGTCCCCGGAGGATATAAATTGGCATAACTCCATTGAATCAGGCCCCTTGGGTCAAAGGGGGTTGTATGAATGAGGAGAGAAGTTGGGAGAGCCACGGCTATATATCTAAGGCTCTTGAGCTTGCGTCCAGTGGAATCGTTGCCCAAGGAAATTGTGCGCGCCCTTTGGTGTGCTCCAAAGGCAAAATGAAGCCCTCTCTTCAGGAGTCTATTTATGAGCAACAATAGAATTCCTCCCTGCCAGAGGTGATTTAGTGTTCTCCAGAATCCCTGGGCACCCACCCCCCTGCAGGACAGTGGTATGGCTCTGAGAATGGGCCCTAGAGGATAAGGCTTTTATGCTGTCATTCCAAGGTCATAAACTTGCAAGAGCAGATAAAAGTGCTGTCTCAGGGCTATGTTGGTCTGTAGCTTGGTACAGGGAAACCCCACAGAGTTGAGCAGAAACTCTGCCCGAAACATGATACCCAGACAAATTGTTTATTACAGTACAAAGAACAGAGGGCCAGGTGCAGCCCCTACCACCTGGAGGTCGCAGTCAGACAATGAACACCTTTCCCACCCCACCAGAGCCCCCATGTCAGCCACAAGGATCACCTTATGCCCAATAGATTATGCAGGGGTGCTAGGGAAGGTAGTTTAAGGCAGTGGAGAAGCACAAAACTGTTCTAAGGTAACTGAGGCTCTGGATCAATGCATGAGTGAGTACTAACCCTATTTAAAGGGCCTTTGGCTGGGAACAGTTGAGAGCTTTTTAAAGAGCATCACCATGGGCAAGTGTCAGCATCATTGCCTCCTGCAGAGAGATCTGTAGGGTAATCTGGATATCAAGTGACTGTACTGGACTGAGTTGAGCCAAGATTGTTTTACGGGGCAATTTCATTTGTTGCAATCTTCAAAGGCATCGCCCTAGGAAGATTTGCTCACTCTTCACAGTCTCACTGCAAGTGTTTGAACACTAAGAATGAAACAACTCGTTTCATGCTTTCACAAAGGTCTGACAAGCCCACTTGGCAGTTGCTACAGCTAACTCCCAAAATGCGTTGTCAGACTTTCCTCAATCCTTAGGGAAATCTCTTGTTGAAGGTAGTGGAGATTTGCTTATAGACTAGAGCAGTGGTTTTCAAACTACGGGTCACAGACCCAGTACTGGGTCACGGAATGGAAGGCACTGGGCTGCGGTGGCTCTGGTCAGCACCACCGACTGGGCTGTTAAAAGTCCTGTCCGCGGTGCTGCCCAGCTAAGGCAGGCTAGTCCCTACCTGTTCTGACACTGTGCTGTGCCCCAGAAGCAGCCAGCAGCAGGTCCAGCTCCTAGGTTGGGGGGCCACAGGGCTCTGCATGCTGCCCCCACCACGAGCACCGGCTCTGCACTCCCATTGGCTAGGAACTGGCCAATGGGAGCTAGAGGGGCGGTGCCTGAGGGCAAGAGCCACACGGAGCCACTTGCATACTTCCGCCTAGGAGCCGGACCTGCTGCTGGCTGCTTCTGGGGTGCAGCGCAGTCCACGGTGCCAGGACAGGTAGGAAGCCTGCCTTAGCACCCCCGTGGCGCTGCTGACCCGGAGCTGCCTGAGTTAACCCCATGCCCCAATCCCCTGCTCCAGCCCTGAGCCCCCTCACCCCCAGACCTGGAGCCTGCTCCTGCAACCCAAACCCCTCATCCCCGGCCCCACCCCAGAGCCTGCAGCCCCAACCCAGAGCCCTGTCCCCCTCCTGCACCCCGAGCCCCCTCCCACACCCTGAACCCCTCATTCCCGGCCCCACCCCTCAGCCCTCACCCCAGCACCGCAATCCTCTGCCCCAGCCCTGAGCCCCTCCCACACCCCAAACCCCTCATTCCCAGCACCACTGGGTCATGGGCATCAACAATTTTCTTTAACTGGGTCACCAGAAAAAAAGTTTGAAAACCACTGGACTAGATAAATACTTAAGGATTTGGCCTGTTGTACATACATAACAAATCTCACAGCTCCTGATCCAAAGCCCACTCAAGTCAATAGGAATCTTTCCACTGAGTCCAGAGGATTTCAGGGCTATCAACCAGAAAGAGATCCACTACATTTAGTATCGCTAATCCCCACTATCCAAAAAAAAAAAAAAAATCACAAGATTTAAAAAAAAAAAGATTTTTTTGCTATCTGGTTTTTGAACACTTGGGTCACGTTTTCAGGCTTTTGTCTACAGTCCTGGGAACCAGACACTTCCTTTTTTTAAAAGGACAGCTGAGATTCTTATATAATCAACATGACTCCCAGAGCTAAGGCTTCATATATCACAAGACTTGCAATTAAACAAAACCAAACCACCACACTTTGGTAACACGGACAGCTAGAAACAATTTTAAAAAGTCTCGTGGCTGTTCCCTAATGACAAGAACCACATCCAACAAATGCAAGTGTACTACTAAGAGGCACTCGGGTGGCATGGTGCTGGGCAGAGTATAATTGCCTGGATAGAACAGACCAATAAATGTTCTAGTTACAGCTCCATTATGATCAGCAATATTTCCTTTCTACTGCTAGAAAGGAACACTTTGCAATCCATAATTGGGTGCTGAATCAGTGGAGATATCTCCAGTTCACTAGGGGTGCACCTGATATCTTGGCAGCAGTGGCTTGACTCTTGTGCATGAATTATGTTATGCAATATGATATAGGCGAACAGAAAATAGTTTGGAGTAGTTCATATATTTTCTTTGACTGAGAAGTAGCTACTGTTATTTTGGGACTTGAGCCCTAGGGTGAAATTCTGGCCTCATAGACTTCAGCTCCAGAGTAGGGAGAAGAACCACAAGAATACCAACAACTGAGATACTGCTATCTGTTTTGTTTGTATTACTAATGCATGTATTTCTGGGTCCAGTCCTGCTCACAATAAGGATGAGAATAGTTCAGAGAAAAAGAACGGTCCAGTGATTCCGGTGCTAGTCTAGAACTCAAGACCTTGGCTCAAGTCCTTGTTCTTCCTTTGTGACCTTGGGCAAGTCATTTAATCCCTTATCTGTAAAACTGGAATAGCAGCATTTTCCTACCTCATAGGAGTATTGTAAGGATCAGTATAAAGACTGTGAAGTGCTCAGATACGGTGGTACTGTAATGGGGCCACAAACAGACCACACCCACTGAAGTCAGTAGAAATATTTCACTTCAGTGGGCAATGGCTTGGGTGCTCTGACACTAGCTACCCTCTCTGCCTCGGTTTCCCCATCTCTGAACTCAGGGATGGTGGGGAATTGAGATTTAAGCATTTTCTTAGTTTAGGAAAGGAGTGATTAACAAAACACATCTTAAAGTGCAAAGCTGCGCAAATCTTTTCCTGCACATTGTTATGAATTAAAAATAGGAAATTTTCACAATTCACTAAAGAACAAGGATGCTTTAAAAAAAAGCAAAAACTGGCTCATTTTCAAACAAAAATGGCTTTGCATCCAGTAGCATGTAAAGGATCTTTTTGCATATTTGTGATGTTAATAGCTATTGTGGGTACATATTGTTGTGGGGCCACCAGGCTTTTTTGAACACAGTTCTGCAAAACTAAAATATTGCATTTTTCATGTCATTACTATTAGGCACTACTGTCACGGCATTCATGAATACAAGACCCAGCTGAGTGCAGGGTCCCCTTGTGCTAAGTACTGTGTGTAGATGCAGTACGGGGCGGTCCCCGTCCCAAAGAGGTTACAGTTTAAAGGGACAAGATAGAGACCAAGTGACTTGCCCAAGGTTACACAGCAACCTAGTGGCAGGGCCACGTCTCCCGAATCCCAGTGCAGGGCCCTATGTAATTCACCATGCTGCCTCACAGCTTTATTTCTCCCTCTTTAATAAGTTGCCTCGCAGAAGAAACCCACCCTGTTTATTTCTCTGATGGAAGCTTTCTTCCCAAGGCATCACACTCCTCTGGTCTGGTGGCTCTTTATTTTGCCACGTGCACGTGAGAATCGAATTTAACCCACTGAGCACCCCCAAAATGCAAGGTCGGGCTCATCATTTTGTATTTTCCGAAGAAGATGGTGGAAACTTACACCGGAAGAGTCTTGGGCGTCCATTATTTACAGTAGTATAGGTTCCCCCAGACCAGGTGCATGTTAATCCATAGTGCACGCTCCTAGTGCTATGAAAATGGGGTTGGATTTCTTAGCTTCAGCTTACCGCAGGTCACTGGTTCTGTGCTATGTTTCAGACAGCTCTTGGCCTGAGCTGTCATTCCCAGTTACCAGTGATGTCATTCAGAGCAGCTGGCTTTGCAGATCCCCTGGGGAGAGGTGAGAAAGCTCTTACAGCTGGAGCTACCTCGAGCAGCCCTAAAAGACAACAAACGTATTGAATGTACACTCATATGATGGATGGCTTTGACTTGTGCAGGGATGAGTGTGCCTGGTGTGGTTCTGTATGGCACGCTGAAGTCTCGGGAGAACGGCTGGAGGATACCAATTGTTGAAAGTGATTTCAGGGGTCTGTTTCATTTTTAAGCACACACATCACCGGAGACCAACACAAACCCTCTGCGGAGTTCTGCTCACGTCAGCAGTTCGGTGGAACTGCCTCCAAAAGAGCCTCCACCCCCCC